CAGGGATGCCATCCAACCATCCCATCCTCTGTCGTCCCCTCCTCCTCCTGCCTTCAATCTTTTCCAGCATCAGGGTCTTTTCCAATGAGTTGGCTCTTCACAGCAGGTGGCCACAGGATTGGAGCCATCTGCACAGTAACGTGTATATGTCAGTCCCAATCTCCCAATTTATCTCTCCCCCTTCTGACTCCCTGGTAACCATAAGTTTGTTTTCTACATCTGTACCTCTATTTTTGTTTTGTAGGTAAGTTCATTCATACCCTTATTTTTTTTAGATTCCACATAAAAGTGATATCATATGCTATTTGTCTTTCTCTGTCTGACTTATTTCATTCAGTATGAGAATCTCTAGGTCCATTCATGTTGCTGCAAATGGCATTGTTTCATTCCTTTTTATGGCTGAGTGATATACCACTGTATATATGTACCACATCTTCTTTATCCATTCCTCTGTGGATGGACACTTATGTTACTTCCACGTCTTGACTATTGTGAGTAGTGCTGCTATGAACATCAAGGCGCATGTATCTTCACGTTATAGTTTTCTCTGGATATATGCCCAGGAGTGGGATTGCAGGATCATATAATGGCTCTATTTTTAGTTTTTTTAAGGAACATCCATACTGTGAAATTTCTCTCAGATTTTCTCTTCACCTCAGCTTCCCCTCCACAGCCACCCCCATCGATCTCCCCCAGGCCTTTAACAGCAGAAAAGCCTCCTGGACACTCAGGGAGGTCATTTCAAAGGCCACTCTCACCTTGCAGGGTCAGCCTGTAGCATCTTCATGGAAATTCTGTATCCCAGAGCAGAGCCTCTGGGTGAGAACTCAGACCTGCAAGGTCTGACCTGGGTGGTAAATCCTGGGGAACCCTCAGAGGATGTCTGCTTGGGGTGGGGACAGGGAGATGAAGGCAGCCTGGCTTCACAACGGTCTAGGACCGAGAGTCTGGGTGGGTCTGGTGGGGTGCGTCCTCGGTCGTGTCCCCTGGAGCCAGCCTGCCCCACCCGGCTGGCAGGTCCCTACTCGTTCAGGATCTGACACTGTTATGAGCTCCCCCATGAAACTGAAGCATTGGAGCTCTACGCCTAATATATTTTTCTGCCAGAAACACCCAATAAAATGTACAACTAATGAATAAAATCGCAGCGTTGCCAAGAAGTGATGTGTGCCCCCAATTTCCAAAAATACCTCAATCACTCTGTGTCTTAAAACCGGCCTCAAGCCAGGAAGTCGTTACTTAAAATTCAACTCAGGAGTTTCAGCTGCGGGAACTCCAGGCCCTGGGATGGAATTTGTGTTAAAGATATAAACCATGACGTAGCCCGCTTCTGCCTTTCCTAATCCCAAACCCAGCCTCCTTGCAGCCGTCAGGGACTGAGGCTATCAAGGCCGCCAAGAAGCATAAGGCCTAGAATGGAGGCACCTAGGAAGGAGATGTAAGTGTTGGGTGTATTGAAAGGGGCTGTGGTGGATCTTGCGTCCCTACGTCACTGGCGGCAGGCGGAGCATCCGCAGACCACTGGATGTGTGAACTCCTAAAATGCAGTGTTGAAGTACCTTGGGCATTCTTCGGGGCTGGGAGGAGAGAAGCCATGTGTGTGCATGCTTACTCGTTCAGTCATGTCCAACTCTTTGTGATCCCTGGACTGTAACCCACCAGGGTCCTCCGTCCATGGGTTCTCCAGGCAAGAATACTGCAGTGGGTCGCCAGTCCCTTCTCCAGGGGACCTTCCTGACCCAGGGATGGAACCTGGGTCTCCTGCATTAGCAGGCAGATTCTTTACCCCTGAACCACCTGGGAAACCCCAGCCTTCATCAGATTCTCAGGGGCCTTAGACCCAGAAAAGGTTAAGAACCAGCCTTGCCTTTAGCTTTCTATGAACACTCCATGCTCAGAGTAGCTGCCCTGCCCTTCGAAGACACTGAAAACTAAAGCCAGGTGTCAGCTGAACACAAGTCTGGGACGAGTAAGAACAGAATATCCAAAGTCAGCCTCATGCAATTCTACAAACATGAAATGAGCAGCAGGCATTGCCCAACACAGTGATAGCTCCCAGGAATTGTCCCTGTTGTTGAGCAGATAAAGAGGCACACAGACTATTAAGACACAAACCAAATCTCCACCTTGCTGTGGTGGAAGCACAGAGGGTGAGGTGTCCAAAAGGGCTTCCTGGAGGAGGAGGCAAGCCTTGTGCCTGTCCTCATAGGGTAGGTGGAAGCTAGTTATGCAGAAATGGAGTTGGACCCGGAAGGAAGTGATGGGGCTTCCTGAGTTAGGAGAGTCCAAGTGCCACAGGGCAGGAACTCAAGTTCTGGGAGTTTTGATGCAAGGTGAGGGTTGCCCTTTGCTCCCCAGGCCCCCACCTGCCCGCCCACAGCTTTTCCAAGCACCCAGGACGTGCTCAGTGGGGCAATGGGGCAGGAACTTGTGGGCCTTTCATCTCTCAGACATCTGGCATCCTGGCTTCCTCCCTGCAGGGCCGGGCTCCTGCTCCTGGGGCTGGGATCAGAGGAAGCCCTGAGGTCCCTGTGTCCCTTTGATCCTTACTCTGTCTTGCTCAGCGGCTGGCGCTGCTGTCTGGCCAGGCACAGGCTCAGGCAGGCGCTCCCAGCCTGGGGAGGCCAGCGTGCTTGTTGGTAGGAAGGACGCAGGGCTGGGACGCGGGTGTATGGCTCCTCCTCTTCTGGACTACCCCATCCAGGCCACGAGCATGGCAGATCTAGCCAGCCCACCTGCCTCGTGGGCATATTGCAAGGATGAAGTAAAACAGGAAATGGGAAAGCAGTTAGACCGGGCAAAGAGAGGCCACCAAATCTCAGCAGGACTTGAAAGCAGTCAGAACCTTGGCTTCCAGCCCCATTTTCTGTCCGTTGCCAGGCACACAGTTTTGGGCACACAACTTCGCTGGGCTTCAGGGTCCTCACTGTAGACAGGGGTGCCCTGCCCTGCCCAGCCTGCCTTCCCAGCTTGCACAGCCACCAAATGAGATAATGGATGGAAAGTGCTTTGAGAAGAAGAAAGTGCGGTGCCGATGTCAGGGATTATCATTATTATTAAGAAGCATGATTACTGCAATCTAGAAACGCCGCCATTAACGAGAAGCTCCTGTTCGTGTTGATTTAATTTCCTGGTTAACTGAGCGTTGACCAGAAAAAAACTCTGCATTTCAACCCTTATTGAAAATCTTTTAAAATGATGCCAGTGTACCTTCCTGCACCGGTCTTGGTGTCATCTTGAGTCTTTATTTATTAACGAATCGATTGAGTCACAGAGTCATGTATTACTCTTGCTCTGATCAGATCCAAAAAGGTGATGGCAGACTTAAGCTACTCTATGATGGGGGTCTTTATACCCACCCACCCAGGACTCCTCTTGTTGGGTATTAGAATGGAAAAGTTGAAGAGATGGATCTGGGAACTAACAGAGGATGGGGTCTTCCCAGTGACTTTTCTATAGCTTCCCGCTGTACTTAATATATTATCATATGTTTCTTGATGCTTCAAGAAATACTTTCTGGGACTTCCCTGATGGTCCAGTGGTAAAGACTCTGCACTTCCACTACAGAGGACTTAGGTTCTATCACCAGGTGGGGAACTAAGATCCTGTGTGCCACACAACATGGCTGAAAAAAGAAAGGAAAGCAAAGAAATACTTTCTGATTGGGGTAGGAGTCCTTTCTGGGTTTATTCAGTGACATGGCTGCTTTTTCTTAACAACCTTATCAGGCCCAACGTGGCGCAATGAACAGCTTGGCCTTCTGGGATGGGGGGTCATTGAAAGCCACAGAGGGGCCTATGATCTTTGCAGTGTAGCTGCTACCCCCACAAAGGCCCCCTTGGCAAGTAGCTACCAGAACTGGTGATGGGCAGAGAGCAATGGAGTTGGATCCAATTTGAGTTGGATCTGATGGGAAGAGGCTGACCCACCTCAATAAAACCATTTGAGGACAAAACTGTGTCTTCAGCATCTTCAAGGAGAGAGTTCTTTCCACTCATAAGATCCAGAGATTTCCGAGGAGGAGTTTCCAAAGACTCTGAGTGACAGCTGTTTCCTGGGTGATGCTTGTGCAGGGAGACCACAGGCTGAGGGGCAGAGGGGTATCCAACTCTTAGAAGCGGGTGCCTTGGACTTCCCCAGTGGCCCAGTGGTTAAGATACCATGCTTCCACTGCAGGGGGCACGGGTTCGATCCCTAGTGGGGCAAGTTCCACGTGCCACACAGGATGGCCAAAAAAAAAATGATGCTTATGTGTTAAGTTCCAGGAACTCCATTTCCCCTGTAGAAGGAGGGTGGTGGTGATGACCATGCGGGGGGAGTTCAGAGAGTTGCGATGGGGAAATGCATGTAGAGCACAGAACAGAGGCCGGTGCTGCTGGGCAGCTGTGGGCACAGGCCCTAGATGTGGGGCTGGAGATATGTTTATCTCATAGGTGTTCCTTAACTACATCTTCCCAGGTGACACAGTGGTAAAAAAAATCCACCTGCCAATGCAGGAGATGGGGATTCCATCCCTGGGTTGGGGAAGATTCCCTGCAGGAGGAAATGGCAACCCGCTCCAGTATTCTTGCCTGAAAAATTCCATGGACAGAGGAGCCTGGCGGGCTACAGTCCATGGGGTCCTGAAGAGTCAGACACAACTGAGCCACTGAGCATGCACATGTGGTCTTCAGTTATGCATGAACCTGTTCACATGCAGATCAGTGGGTCTCAGCTCGGGGCAATTTTGGTGCCCCAAGGGGCAATGGGCAAAATCTGGAGCTTTGAGGAAGGAGGCAGTGCTTCATGGCCTCTGGCAGGTGATCTCCAGGGGCACTACTGGTGGGCATCCTGCATTTCACAGGGCAGCCCCCACAACAGAGAATGAGCTGGTTTAATGGTGAGGGGTGCCCAGGTTGAGAAAGCCCGGCGTGGGGCCTGCTGGCGTGACCTTGGGTGGGGCGACCTTGGGCGGGCTCCCAGCCACCCTCACACTGCCAAGTGTCTCTGCTCTCCCCCAGAACCCCGACATCGTCCTGGTGCACTACCTGAACGTGCCGGCCATCGAGGACTGCGGCAAGCCCTGCGGCCCCATCCTCTGCTCCATCAACACCGACAAGAAGGAGTGGGCGAAATGGACAAAGGAGGAGCTCATTGGGCAGCTGAAGCCCATGTGTGAGTAGGCGTGGCCAGCCAGCCAGGGCGCACTGGGGCCCGGCCAGCATCACCCAGACAGGGCCAGCGGTCCTCCGTGGAGTGGAGACCCAGGTGTGGGAGCCCCATTCTGCTTAGGTGACAGTGAACTCAGCATTTACAAGGGCCCTGCTCAGCCCACAGTCCTTGTGGGGGGACTCCCTAAGCCACAGCCAGGACCAGGATGTCAGCCTGCATTACAGATGAGAAAGGGGGTTCCGGAGCCCAAAACCTATAGCAAGGAGCAGAGCTGGGAGTGCCCCGACCGCTGTCTTGGAGGCTGCAGACAGGATCATGGTGGCAGTCCAGGGAGGGAGAGGCCCATGGGCTGAGGACGGGCTGGCTGCCTTCTGGCTTCAGCCCATCTGCTCCTGGGCACGGGGCCTGCCCTGCTCCCAGACGCGGTGACACACAGACGGTGGGAGCTGAGCTGGATTTCATTTTGTCAGCGGAGTGATGCTTTCGGGAGCATCTGTCAGGTGCAGATCAGTGAATGCAAAACACCAAGTGCGTCCAGATAGCCGGGACGCGGCCGGTGTCTCGTTTCCACGGGCAGCCGCCGGGGGCTCTCAGCGGCCTCTCCTGCTGCCCGCATGGCAGGGCTCATGGAGAGCAGACCCGAGGACAGCTGTCCAGAGCACAGGGCCCTGGGTTCTGGAACACTGATCTCTAGAGGCTCAGGGCAAAGACGAGTCACCATATGGGACCTAACTGAGCCAGTCAAGGGGGTCCTGAGAACCTGTGCCCCCTTGGAAGTAGAGCTGCAGGGAAGAAGCGTGTAGAGAGAGCCGGTGAAATGTCCTTTCCTGGGGACAGTATTGGGTCACTGAGTGTCTGAGCCACGGCCAGGTGGCACCTGCAGTGACCAGCTCACCTAAAGAGGCCCTCAGTATTCAGATGAGGATGGCCCCTGCCCCCACCAGCCACAGGTTGAGAGTGGAGTCAGGAAGGACAGCATTCTATGCAGGGAAAGTGTGAAAGTGTTAGTCGCTCAGTCTTGTCTGACTCTTTGTGACCCCATGGACTGTAGCCCACCAGGCTCCTCTGTCCATGGAATTCTCCAGGCAAGAATACGGGAGTGGGTTACCATCCCTTCTCCAGGGCATCTTCCCAACCCAAGGGTCAAACCCTAGTCTCCTGCATTGCAGGTGGATTCTTTACCATCTGAGTTACCAGGGAAGCCTCTATATAGGGAAGTAGACACCAGTAGGCCAATGGGCCAGCACCCTCAGGGGCTCGACCCCAAAACTGAAGTTGCCCCATGCTGTCCTCCTGGACCCGAGGTGAGGGTCTGGCCAGCCTGCCCTTGCTGCTGCCACCAGGAACTAAAGCCAGGAAGCCCAGGGTCTTCCAGGCTCAGGCTATGTCCAGTGGAACCCTCCTGATGGGTAACTCAGATCAGACCCATCGTGTTAAAGCCATCTTGTGCCCTCAGGATAGAGCACAAGCTCCTAGGTGTGCCCACAGCTCGTCCACCCTCAGGTCCCACACTGCTGCCCCCGCCCTCCTGGGCTCCCAGCCAGGGGTCCCTCCACGGGAACTGCGGTCTCTCAACCCTCCTCTGCCTGGCTCTCCTCTACCCTCACCTGCTCACCCATCTCCTCCTTCCACCTCAGCCCAAACAGTGCCTCTTCCATTGACCATCCCAGACCACCCAGGCTGGACCTCACAGCCCCAGCACCCCGAGCCTCCTGAGACCTCTCAGGGAAACACCAGACTGAAGCCAGTCTCCCACAGTTAACTGGAAGGGGCCACACGAGCCTCTGCAAAGCTCTGCAGAGTACCTGGAAACTTGGGAGACATCCCAGCTCATTCCCATGGGTACTTCCTGTCTGCTGTTCTTCCGGGCCCCCCACTATACTGGCACATGCAAGGCTCTCTCTAATATCTGTGGGGCGCTGAATGAGTGTGACTGGACCCAGCTTGATCCACTGCCCACAGGAACCTGAGTACCTGACGAAGACCCCAGCGGCCAGGCCCTGGGAGCCAGAGCTGCCCAGTGGCACCCTCCACGGCCAGGCTGGGCAGGGTGGAGGGTGAGGTAATGGTGCCAGCGGTCCTACTTTGAGCTCTGCCCACCCACCCCTTCCATTCAGTGGTGTCTAAATGTGTAGGGCTTGCCCTTGGCCTTGGGTTTCCTCCCCAGGGCTGCCCACACTTCCTCTTTGGCAGAGCCTTGGCTGGGCAGCAGCAAGGACTCAGATAACCTTGGGCACTGGCGCCACCCAGTCAGGCTAGTTGAGTGAGAGCTGGGCATTCAGAGTGGGGTGTGCTGGTTCCGTGACTGCTCCACTGTGTGACTTCAAGCCCATCACCCACCCTCCCTGCACCCCAGTTCCCTTTCTGTAAAGTGAGAAAAAGAGTCCAGTGTTCTCTCTACGAAGTCCAGCATCACCCAGCCAGCTCTGCAGGGCTGGGCTTGGCTCCTGGGTTTCTGCAGACCCAGGTCCAAGGCGTTGAGGCCACTATTTCATCCCATGTCCTGGGAGGTTCCAGAGACCGAGTTAGCCAGAGATTAGCCAAGGGGATGTTCCCAAGGAAAGAGACACCTTTCGAGGTGGTCACCATGGTCAGAGGCCCCAGCCTGGGCCCTTCCAGTGTATCTCACACACACAGAGGGCCCTTTCCTGTAAGTCACTCCATCACCCCAGTTCCTTCCCCCATTCTCTTGTTTGAGCTGCTTCCTTCTCTCCCTATTGTCTCTACCTCCTCACAACATGCCCCGTCCTCAGAAGGAGCTCTTCCCCAGAAAAGTCACCCTCACCCACAGGAGCCCGATAGGAGTGCATATCCCCACAGCAGGGGAGGGGGTTTAGCCATGAACTCCAGGGGTTGGAAACCAGACCTTGGTCCAACTCTGATACCTAACTGGAGGGAACTATGAACGCCTTTTCAAAAGTCTGCAGTGCATCTTGTCAATTATGTTAAACTACAACAAACTCCCCATAAATCTAATCACACTTGGCTCTGTGGTGTCCGGGGTTGGGAGCAGCACGGTGCAGTCTCTCAGGGGGTGTATATCTGCGTGTGTGCGTGCGTGCGTGCGTGCGTGGCTCTGGTTACACATGCACAGCCTGGAAACACGGCCCAGGAAATATGGCTCCAATAAAAGCTTTACATGCCGATCGGGCTTGGAACACACACACAGGGCAGCAGCTCCCCGTGTTCGGGGAAAGCAGAGGTGTGTGCTGTGAGCCAGGAAGGCATCAGATTTGGTTCCAGAATCCGGCATGCCACCCAACGCCGGAGCCAAACACATTAGCTTCATCACATTTTCACATAAATCACATTCCTTCAAAGACTTCACAGTTTGATTTCCTGATGTTTCCAAATTTCCCTGCCCTACAGCAGAGCTGTCAGTGGTTTAATCAAAATGTTGTGCTTATCGGGGGTGAAGTGAAACTGCTCCTCAGCCTCTGCCTCACCTGTTGAAGATGGGTGGGAGGATCTCACAGACCCCAGCTTCTGTGCCAGACTGACCCCAAGAACTCCACCTTGACTCTTGCAGTGGTGACCTTTTGTCGCATGGGGATTTTTCCTTCATTTGCAAACTGAAAGATGCCTCCTCCAGATTTAAAAAACACAGAGAGAGAGAGAGAAAATATTCAGATACCTGATAGGAATTCCCAGTACGTTTCCAAGGATGCTTTCTGTCTTTTTCAATTCCTGCAGCAGTATTTAGAATATGGGTCCTGCTTCTGTGATGAAGACAGAAGGAACAGTGGCTTAAATCTTATTTCTTTTGCACAGAGCAATTCAGGGTTGATAGGGCAGCCTCACAGGGACAGGAATCAGATCAGCCACCCTGGCTTTTTCCAGCTGGTTGCTCTGCCATTCCTAGGGTGTTGCCATCTTTCATGTGGCTCCATGAAAGCTGCTCCAGCTCCTACCATCATAACTGCATTCCAACCAGTGAGAAAAGAAGAAGATAAGTTGGAGAGCAACTTTCTTAACTTTAAAGACAGGGACCAGAAGTGGCATACAATGCTTCCACTCATATGTCATTGGCTAGAATTCAGTGGTAGAGCCCCCCCCCCCTCATTGGCAAGGGAGTCTGGGAAGTGAAGTCTTTTCTAAGTACTAACATCCTCACTTCCTCTGGGAATAAGGTTCTCAGTTCTGTACTGAGTCTTTCAGGACAGCCAGGGTGCCTCTTGTAAGGCCTCAGCTGAGAACGGCTTGGCTCAGCTCAACTCAAGGCCTGAGGATGGCTGCCCTGGGTTCTGTCTGAGGGTTGGAGTTTTTAGAACTCAAGTGAACATGGTATAAAAGTCAGCAGGTCTCATCCTGCAGACTCCAGGGTCTGTTGCAGTGCTGCTGATCTGAGAGAGCACCCGCTTTGGCCCCCAAACTGCCGTAATCCAAGCGGGGCTGGGCAGGTGGGGTCGGCCCCTTCTAGGTCAACCTTAAGTGGCAGCAATGATGGGTCAGATGAGCCCTGCACCTCAGTCCCGCCAGCCTGGCAGGAAACTTGCTCGGTGATCCTTGGCTGGCCCAGACCCTCCAGCCTCAGGAAGCCAGATGGAGCCGCTTCCCTTGGAGTGGACCCTCACCTCTGAGCGCCATGGCATTCTGCCCTGCCCCATTCCTTGGCAGCCTGGGAGGGGATAGGCATGCCAGTCGCTTCCCAGCTAGCAGGTGGCAAGGTTGTTCCATCCAGAGTGAGGGATAAAGGCAGGAGCTCTAAGCTTTGGTCTCAGCCCTGGCCCCAGCTGTCCCTGCTCAGGTCTCCTCTTGGAGCACCCTAGCTGGCCAGGTAGCCCTGCATTGCCCAGCAACCTTGGGCCTTCCCACAGGCCTGCCTGGCTCCAGAGGCCATCTGGAAGCCCCACCAGCCACCTCTGGGCTTGGCTTTGCTCCCACTGCCTTCCTGGAGCCCCTCTGTCATTGCTCAGGGGTTCCCAGGTCTCAGTAGCACTGGGTGGGCAAAACAGGAGCACCCACACAAATGTCCACACACTCCTGAGTGCACAGGTGCACAC